TTTCTGATTTCTCGACTTATTTTTTTTCTCGAGTTTCGGGAATTCTCGAGGCCAAAGTCTCGAGTTTTCTCGGGTCTCGAGTCTTTTAATTAAAACTGTTGAAATCGGTTGAAATTTAATAAAAACACGGGTTTTTATTAATATTATAATGTGTCTGGGTTATAATCGATGATACTGTAAAGTTTCAACAAAATCCGTTCAGTAGTTTTTGCGTGAAAGAGTAACAAACATCCAGACATCCACACAAACTTTCGCATTTATAATATTAGTAGGATAATTATAACTTAGTAATTAACTAAAGGAAGAAAAGTCATAAAGTCGCGTGTACTTTAAGGATTAATAACCATAAATATCTGGAGCTCCAATTGAATCACTTGTTTTCCAAAGAACACAAGTCCAAATTAATTGAAAAATTACGATAATAAACCTGCATTTACAAACAAAAAAAAAACATTTAAATAATTTTTTAAACTTAAAGATAACGACTTGAATAAACGTATTTACGAGTACCTAAGCTAACAGATAGTTAGACAAATAAATTTCAGTCTTTAAATCAGTCAGTTATACAAATATAATAAAATATAACATACTCGTAGGTAATCATTATTAGTTTCGGTTAAGATCATTACTTGCAAATCAAATTAGTTAAAAAAAGGAAAGACTAGGCCAGTCTAAACGCAACATTAACCTATTAAATAATTAAAATCTTACTTTTGTCTAAGAAAATAGGCTTTCAAGAATATTAAAGCTTCAAAATCGAAACTCGAGAATTCTCGAGCTCCGGTAATTTTTTTCTCGTCTCGAATGAAGCCAAATTTCTCGAGTTTTCTCGAGTTCGAGAAAGCTCGAGCAGAAACCCTAAGCCATGGCCACCGCTCCGACTTATTAATATTAGTAGGTAGGAAGTAAGATTTTATTAATTTTTAGGACTAGTAGGGATCACCAATTTTACGCAATATCCACCTCTACTTCCCCAAACATTACTCGACAAATGAACAAAAATTCCACAACCAAAATAACTACAAAGTCAAAAGTTTCTGCAGAGTAATTCATAAATATTAAAGACACACCTTCTAGTTTTTGCGAGTGGAATTCAGTATTCGAGCAGCGTCCATCAGTCAAAATTGTCGAGTTTTCGCCAAGTTTTTGACGAGTTGAAATATCTTGCACACCAAGATGTGAGAAGGAATTGAGGTTTTTATAATATTTAGAGGATGGTGATACTGTTTGCTCAATAGATGGCGTTATGTTAGATTCTGAAAGATAGTAACTGAACAAGATTGAATATTTGGACAAATGTTACATTGGTCTACTATTCTATTCTACTAGTAAACGCGAAAGTTAGTATGGATGTTTGTTATTCTATCACGAAAAAAACTGCTGAATGGATTGTGATAAAACACGGGTGAAATCGCGGGCAAGAAGGAGTAAAAATTGTATAATGATTTTGTCATTTTGAAACACTGAAAAACTTTTTTGCTGTGTGAACCAATCTGGCAGAAAATGTCTTATGGTATTAAGTACCTATAATAATATACCCTAAGTACTTATTATGTGGAATTAAAGCTATTTCTTTAAATAAATAAAACTAATTGAAATGAACTCAATGTAAATTTTAACTCCCTTTTCATTTGTTTGAAAATAAACTAAGTATTCAACCTATTTAATAATTTGCTAAATTAACACTAAATAAAGGCTAATCAGTGTTGCTAATTAGCAAGCACATTAATTATGTGCTATTAATTTCAATTAACAGCTGTAAGATGCACAAAGGTTAAATTATGGATTAGCAAAAAGCTAGTTAATTAGTTGTTCCCGTATAGTGGACATAGTTCAAATTCGAAAATCAAAGTTCTTTATATTCCGCACTGATAAATAAATGTGGACCGAGACGACCTGATAAAGGTAGCAGGAAGGCGCTGGATGCAGGCCGCTACCAACCGTGCGACGTGGAAGTCATTGGGGGAGGCCTATGTTCAGCAGTGGACGTCGTGTGGCTGAAATGATGATGATGATGAAATAAATAGTAGTTTTTACAAATTACAAGTTACAAATGACAAGGTGTGCTTGGTATAAAAAACGAGTAAAAAAGAATTAAAATACCTACTTTGTTTTTAGTGAATTTATATGTATACGCTGAAGGTCAATGTCAATAGTAAATATGTTTATTGCTACATTGCTAGTACATTGTATGTATCGTTGACGTAAAATTTATTGCATTGTTTTGTTCACATTGTTTTGTTGTTTAAACATTACCAATAATTGACGTTGAGGCAATAAATTATACGTAATATTTGTCTTAAAATAAATAATATGCTTTAGGCGAATTTCACCTTACAATGCCCTCTCAGGGCATGGTATAATTATATATATATATAGATATAAGTATAATTTAAAAAAACAAGGTCATTAGTACACCCAAAACTACGTAGGTAAACGGCGTCGGAGTACGTTAGCCCTGCTGCTAGAAGATTTAATTTTAAACTAATTTTATCGTGATGTTCTTTCTTAGCCTTTTCATTTGATACGTATTATATTGGAGGTTGAAAAAAAAAAACTGCCAACTTGGAGTGGCAGCCATACTTAAATTTTACCTATTATTAGTAGGGAATTTAGTGCAAGAACCCCTCCACTTTGGTATAGAAGGCTCATTTTTGCAACAGTGGTTCTTTGGGTGCTTCTGAGTGGATTTCCGTCGGTAGACATCGGGAGCCCCCCCTGTGGTAGCAGGGGGAGGGGGGGCAAGTTTCCTTCCGCCACGCTTCACTTTAAGGCCCATATCTTCAAAACTATGGGTATTAGGGCAAGTGTGGTATCATTTTCGGATAATTAAAGGATGGCGAATTCATTTCTAGAACAAACTTTTTGCCTTTTCATACAAAAAAATTGAAATATTGAGTAAAATTCACAAAAATCAAGAAGTATTTTTTTAAATAAACGTCGTTTACTTTTAAACCACTGGAGATAAACTAATAAAAAAAATATGACCTGAAAGCTACATTTATCAGGATTATAAAAATATAACATTGTATGGTACTTTTTTCGCAAAAAGTAGGTGAAAAAAATTTTTTCTTCAGGACACAGCGGGCGAATTTTATTGCGCATCGGAAAAAAATATTTATTTTATCCATGAATCCATACTATTTGGTTCATAAGCAAGCAAGAATTATTATTTTAGAAATTATTTAGAGTTGCTGGCACATCAATCTACCATGATTTGCATTTTTTCGTCAATTGATTTTGAACTCTATGTGTGAGACATAAGGTAGAAAATAATTTAAATACATTTTAATATTGAAAATATCATAAGAAGAAAGCACTAAATAAAGAACTTTAATTTGTCTAAACGTCTTAATGATTATTATTATTTTAATTAACACTTTTATTTGTACATACTATTGTACCAGTGATCGGAAAGGTAAGTGTGAGGAAAATGAGGTTTCACAATCATAGTACGGGAGATATTTTTAGTACAAAGGTTACGGTTACGGCTGTGACCGTTTTAGTTGTTTTTTTCAGACAGCACCAGCTTCTGCACTACTTCTTGCACTTACATCTCACCATTTCCAGGCAAGCCTCGGCAGCTACGGGCAAACCGGTCCATGTAGGCTCCATCTTGCTATCGTTTTTTCACCTACTTTTTGCGAAAAAAGTACCATACAATGTTATATTTTTATAATCCTGATAAATGTAGCTTTCAGGTCATATTTTTTTTATTAGATTATCTCCAGTGGTTTAAAAGTAAACGACGTTTATTTAAAAAAATACTTTTTGATTTTTGTGAATTTTACTCAATATTTCAATTTTTTTGTATGAAAAGGCAAAAAGTTTGTTCTAGAAATGAATTCGCCATCCTTTAATTATCCGAAAATGATACCACACTTGCCCTAATACCCATAGTTTTGAAGATATGGGCCTTAAAGTGAAGCGCGGCGGAAGGAAACTTGCCCCCCCTCCCCCTGCTACCACAGGGGGGGCTCCCGATGTCTACCGACGGAAATCCACTCAGGAGCACCCAAAGAAACACTGTTGCAAAAATGAGCCTTCTATACCAAAGTGGAGGGGTCTCCATACAAATCATTGCACTAAATTCCCTACTATATAGACATACGATTGTTAAAAAGAAAATGATACACAAAAGAAAACTTTTGCAATAACAAAAAGGCAAATAATAGTGACTCACATAATATAGGGTGAAATCACCTATATCAACAGTTTACACCGTTTACATAATACGATTAGCATTAAGCCAATGTCATGCTCTAACGATTCTTAAATTCCATTCGACCAGCAGATTTTTTTTTAATTTTTTATCCATAGCGAGGAAGCTCTTGGCCTGTATCTCACCTGATGATAAGTGATGATCAGGCCGAAGGTGGAAGCGAGCTTCACCCGGAATCCTTAACCACGGAAGAATTGGCTCTTACCAAGATCAAGCGCTGTAAGTGGAACTGAATTGGCCAAACTCTCCGAAGGGATCCCGATCACATCCCCAAGCAGGCTCTGGACTGGAACCCCCAAGGAAAACGCAAACGTAGTCGCCACAAGCAAACTTGGTAGCGCACTGTAGCAGACGAGGCGAAGAAAATTGGCAAGACTTGGAACGAGATTAAACGCGAAGCTCAAGACCGAACGCGATGGAGGACTATTGTGGACGCCCTCTGCCCCATCTAGGGGATATAGGACCTTAATACCCCTTTTCACCATCAATGCCTAATTTTTAAGTCTTAGTGATCTGACAAAACAAAATTCCTGTTATGTGTTACTATAGGGGTCACTTAAAAATTAGGAATTGATGATAAAAACGGGCATAAGTCAAGTAAGTCAAGCTCTTACGATATCCTTTGTCACCTATGGCCAATCATGATTAACACCATAAGATATAATAAATTAGATAGAAAAAATAATAATATAAATTTCGCAACCACCCCGCATAATCACGAGTTTGTACAGAGGTTTGTTAGGACAGTTGCGTTTTATTGGTTGTTTATTATGATTTATATTGTGCAAGAGTATATAAAAGGAAAAAAACATGCCAATTCTCCAAACTGCACTTTACACCACCACTGGCTTCACGATGAAAATCTTTCTGGTGAGACACACTTTCTTTAATTTCACTGGAGCGACAAACGTTTAAATTTCAAATTGCGATTTCATAGTAGGCCCTCGGCCTTTAACTCGTAGAACTTGATAGCCATTGAGGAAGGAATTTCTCGAGTACCGACAGACAAGCTTCATACTCCGTATACCAACCATCCGGTGAAGGTCACGGGAAGCACCAGAATGCGGGAAACGCAGGACCGGTCTTTGTTGAAATCCTTGGGCGATGCCTCTCTCCAACCATCGACGTCTTTTTAGATGATTTAACTATACTCCTGATTGCACCGCGTATGTGACTGCATCAGGCAGTGTGCCAACAGAGAGAGATGGCGGGACATCAACAATGCCTCAACGTGACCACGACTGCTCTGCCAAAAGCGAAACGAATAAGATAAAGAAAACGAATATTCCTGAATTCGAATTGCTTTTCTCAGACATTGCAATTTTTTCCAGGTGTGCCTCCTCGCGGGGCTGGCTTGCGTGGCCTCCTCACCCCAATCCTACGCCGGCGCGTCGACATCTCCCGTATCAGCTGTAGCTAACGCTGCCGGATCACCTGGACAATCGTCAGCCGCTGGAGCAGTAGTCCAGAATGCAGCTCAAGGAAGTACAGCAGCAGCGGGAGCGGCAACGGGACAATCTGCTAACGTCGTAGCTCAGGTTTCGGGTGGAACAGGACAGGTTTCTGCGGTTGGATCCAGCAGACCACCTCTGATTGCTCCCCCATCTATTCCTCCCCCTATTGGCATTCCAGGCTAATTAATTATTAGTTAGTATTTACAAAGCACACCTGTTTAGAAGCAAAATTTAACACTGTTGGATTAAAATTGTAATTTGATGTAAAAATTAAACACCGAATTTGATCGCAGATTGCTGTTTTCATTATTTTTGTAAAGTATGTCCCTTTCCATTTTTCTTATAGGTACCTAAATTGTATTTAAGTACTCATCATCATCGTAAGGTCATTTAGTCTCCATTTCAGGAACACGACCCTCTCCAATTTACCAGAAGCAAATGGAGGATATGGCCTTAATTCCCACACGGCCAGACGGAATAGGTATGCCTGAATTTTTTGCACATTAATTGTTCCTTCTTCACGACATCCTCGAAATTCCAAAAGTGGGTCGTGTGGGTTCAATAGAGTAAAGTCACATGGATTGTTAATTCGTTCATTTTCCCTCTAATGTTAATTTAAGAATCAAAATAATATAATCAGACCCTAAGAAATTAAACCAAATCCAATGTTGATCTAATAAGACTCCAATTTTCGCAGACAGCCCGTAAAATATTATAGGAAATAGTAATAAATCACAAAAAGTAACAAATTTCAACGCCCAATGCCTCCTCTACAAATTTATTTCGCAGCAACCAAGATATTATTTCAAAATTACGAATGATTTATGTTCTAAATAAGATATTAGCTTCTGTCGGCGAGTTGGGAAAGTTTGTGAGCTAGGTCACAGGGAGAATAGATCAGTAGGGAAATTTAAAACACGCCAGTTTCCTGATTTGAATCTAAGTATAACTTACGGCTGCTGGGGCAGAAAAGTTCTCGAGTGGAGACCACGAGTCGGAAGACGTAGTGTGGGCAGGCCTCCCACTAGGTGGACCGACAATCTGGTGAAGGTCGTGGGAAGAGCCTGGATACGGGCGGCGCAGGACCGGTCCTTGTGGAAAACTTTGGGGGAGGCCTTTGTCCAGCAGTGGACGTCTTTCGGCTCAGATTTTAAAGGATCTGACTTTCAGATGTCGTATTCTTATTTATATGCAGAACAAGCCGGCGGGACCGCAATGCAACTAATGTTAAGTGAGTTACAGACTAATTTATTGCCCAAATTAGTGACAACAATTCAATAATACCTACTTGGGACTACATACGAACGATGTATTTTTTCGAAATGTAAAATTCGAAAACAATTTTCTTTTTTTTTTGTCCTTTACCCAAACAATTGAATGTGTTTGATTTCTAATTAAATGTGTTGACTGCCCAAACAATTATCTTCTATACTTATAATAAATCTGTAGAGAGGTCAATTCTGTACATGAAATATATTTCCAAAATAACTATCAGGGGGTGATTAGTGATCGATACTGATGCCAAAAATGCAATCAGTAAAATTTTTGTCTGTCTGTCTGTCTGTCTGTCTGTCTGTCTGTCTGTCTGTCTGTCTGTATGTTCCTTATAGAAACAAAAACTACTTGACGGATTTTAACGAAACTTGGTACAATTATTCTTCATACTCCTGGGCAGGTTATAGGATACTTAGGAATTCCCACGGGAACGGGAATCAGCGGGAAAATCCTTTTGTATGAAAAATCTAAACCGCTTAAGTTAGACGCTTGAAATTTGGCATGCAGGTACCTTAGTAAACTTAAAGCTTAGTTACAACAGGATATTTCAAAATTCCCACGGGAACGGGAGTTAGCGGGAAAAAACATTTGTATGATAAAATCTAAACCGCGTAAGATAGACGCTTGAAATTTGGCATGCGGATACCTTAGTAAACTTAAAGCTTAGTTACAACAGGATATTGCAAAATTCCTACGGGAACGAGAGATAGCGGGAAAAAACATTTGTATGAAAAAATCTGAACCGCGTAAGATAGATGAAGGGGGGGTAAAACAAGATCCACGCGTACGGAGTCGCGGGCGGCCGCTAGTGCTAAATAAATTTAAACTAATGAACTCTATTTCGTAATGTCTCATACATTATATTATTCAAATTTATGTATGCGAGTCATTTCTACTAGTATCTCATTATGTAAGTCTAGATATTAGCACGTCACTACCTTGTTTAATATACCACGCAATCTTGTATACCCATTCTTATAAGATACACCATACAAGAATGCATGGTAAATTCAGTGAACTGCTCCTGAATCGAATGTACCTACTACTACTATTTCTATTTATTTATATTAACCGGCAGACAGTGGTGACTGAGTTTGTTGCGGCGCTTCTTCTCAGCACTTGCCGAATGTTGGTCTCGAAGCGCTGGTAGAGTAAAAAGATTATGAGACATGTAGAGGCTCCTTAAGAGCAAAATGACGATTTGTAAGAACTATTTATTAGTCTAAACAAATAAAGAAATTTTGACTTTGACTTTGACTTTAGTTCCCAATACATGAATGATGTTGCTCTTTTGTTTTTACTATGGCTAGACATTGCATATTTTACACTTTTAATCTTAAAATGTGACGTTGACATTTCCATGAAAAATGATTTTATGTTTATTCCTTACGAAGCAGATCGAGATTGGAAAAAACAGTATACTATGTATTTAAACTACACTAGTGTCAGCTCGTGTTTTACCCGCATCTGCTTTAGTTTTTCAAAGAATGTTTTTCTCATTATAACTGGTAGTAAACTAACTACTAGTCACACTAGAAAACGTCACCTACATATTTGTTTCAACACTTTTGTGATCCCCAAAATTATAGATTTGTACTTTATTTTTCATTAAAGATAGCTTAATATGGCCTTTTATTAAATGTTATCTAAGTATCGCTTACCACAATTACTTAGGATGGGTTGCACCATCTTACTTTAACTTTGACAAACGTCAAAAATCTGTCGAACTCCATACAAAAAGCACCGGTTATCGTTATAGTTACGGTCAAAGTTAGGTAGTGCAACTCAGCCTGAGGCACCATCTTAATTTAACCGTAACAGTAACAATAACCGGTGCTTTTTGTATGGAGTTTGACAGATTTTTGACGTTTGTCAAGGTTAAAGTAAGATCGAGCAACTCAGCTTAAGACTGGTTCATCATAAAAGGCTACAAACACACAGTTAATAGGCATAGATACATTTCAACAAAATGTTCCACCAAACTAAAAACAAAGCATTTTACATCATACGAAATCCTATACCTAAATCGGCTGAATCCTATCTAGGTATACCTATCTAAAAAGGATACAGCTATACAGAAGTGAAACAATAGGTGGCAACTACCCGAATATTATTGGAAATATCGAAGTTTTAATTATTTGGGAGCCGAGCGTGCTCCAATCCAGTGGAAAAGTAAATACGAATTTCCCAAACTACTATAGGTTATAAAAGAGGTAGGTAAAGAAGGGCCATTTCTAATAACATACAGCAAGGATGCGGTCCGTGATAAAATCTTATCGACGATTTAGAAATGACGAAATCCTCAGGAAAACCAAAGTGACTGATATTTAATTGGGAGTGGGCGGCGCACATAATTAGCTCTACACTACGTCTACCGGCCCGTGGTCACCACTCGAGAACTTTTCTGCCCCAACGACCATCAGCTCTACGAGCTAGTGCCGTCTCTTGTTTTATTTGGTAGGAACTATCAGAAAATTCTTAAAAGGTGTTGCCACAACTAATCTTTAGTGGACCGACGATGAGTACCTGAATGTGGGCAGCGGCTGCGCAGGACCGGTTGTTATGTAAATTCTTGGGGGAGGTCTGTGTCCAGCAGTCGACGTCATTTGGCTGAAACTGAAGCTGTAGCTTAAGTAGGCCCCTTTCAGGGCGACCCATCATCATCATCATCATTTTCAGCCATAGGACGCCACTGCTGAACATAGGCCTCCCCACATAGCACGGTTGGTAGCGGCCTTTATCCAGCGCCTTCCTGCTACTTTTATCAAGTCATCGGTCCACCTTGTGGGTGGATGTCCTACGCTGCGTTTTCCGGTACGCGGCCTCCATTCCAGAACCTTGCTGCCCCATCGGCCGTCAGTTCTGCATACCAGGGCGACCCAAATACACTGATATTACTCGCTGAGTCTACTGAAGTTAACTGTATTGTTTTACTGTGAATTTTCGGTTAAAATGGGTCTCCATTTTAGCAACTGTGATTGAAAACTCTTCGCAAGTTTATGTAAAGTGTAAACTGTAAAATACTGGCTTAACTGTGTACGGAGACTGTTGAAATGCAGTTAAAATTTCACTTCAATTTTAACTCTATCTGGAATAAAGTTTTATGCGACGAATAGTGTTGTTTTGGAGATGCAGCAACACGCCACTACCATTTATTATTTACTTAAGTAGGTACTCGTATCGTTTTCAGCCAAATGACGTCCACTGCTGGACAAAGGCCTCCCCCAAGGCTTTCCACAGGTACTCGTATAATGTACTATAATAATATAAAATGTACATAAATATTTATTATGTACACACTTGCAAAAAGGTTGATTAACCGACTTCAACAAAAGGAGGTTTGTATTTCTAAAGAAAAGCTTATACCTAATAACAAAACGGAAGACACACTTAAAGGATATACCACAGATCACAGAAACTAAAGGGAGATGTGCCAAGAGGGCGGGGCTGTTGTCGCAGCAATATGCCCAAAAACAGAACACATTTTATTTTATTTATTCGGAAAACGAACAGTGATAATTTCTAAACTGCTCGTGAAAGCAATGATGACAGCAGCGATGTCATAATGTAAACAATTTACATTGCTTGCGTTAGGTACTACGCAAAAAAAAAGAAAGATTAAAAGATACCGCGGTGGATAATGAGTACATAATATTTTGATTTCTTTGTGTGTGTGAATTTGTAATGCGACACTGAGTTTCGAACTCAGCGCATTAGTTGGCATCTCTCTATATCTCTTTGGGATATACTCAACTAAGGCCACAATTTATACCATTTACTTATACAACCCGATCGAGTTAACTGTGCACCTGTCATCCGTGACGTCACATCGACGCTCTGGTACGGGACGGGGTGAATGCGAGGGCAAGTCGCATACCAAACAGGTGCGTAGATAACGTTCTCACACTCGAGATTTTTTCTGCCCCAGAACTTCTTTGATTTACCGGAGGTTGAAGGATTTAGCCTACACTCCCCATGCTGGCCAGACAGCTTGGAGGGGTCTGACATTTGCACATT